CTGTTACAGATGAGGTGAGGCGGAAACTGTGGCACGGCTGAACGGTGACGGCGGAGCTCCGGCGATCCTTGGCCGGGAAAGGGAGAAATCGGTGGGAGGAGGAGGCTGGTCGGGGGAGATGGCCGAATGAGGGAGGAGGAAAGAGAATCTGGTCCAAGCTGGTCAAATATGGTGGGCCAAAGGCGCCACGTGTCGCCGATCCGAGAGATTTGACTAAAATGCCCCTAATCCGACGGTCCTCGATCATCTTTATCCAATAATGCAAGGGCAAAAAGGTCTTTGAGTCCAATAATTGAGCTGATAATTAATTTTAATTATCCCAAATATTTTCCCAGAAGTTCGGACCAAAAATAGGCCAGGGGCAAAATGGTCATTTTTCAGGTCCCGGGGCGAAATTTCAATTTTTGGCTACCCCAACCCCAAATAGGTGTGGGCAACATAATATGGCGTCGAAATCGCGAAAATAGCCTCTTAAGCCTTCGAAAATCGACTACAAAGTCCTGGGGAATAAAATAATATTATTTTTCACTTCCGAGCAAAAATTCCAATTTTTGACCGAAACAACTCTAAATGTGCGTGGCCACCCCAAAATGATGTCGGCCTCGAAAAATAATCCTATACGGCCTCAAAATCGATGTCGGTATCCCGAGGGGCAAAATCGTAATTTTTGACTTCCGGGTCGAAATTCCATTTTTCGGCCGTACTATCCATAAACGTGTGTGGCCAGCGTAAGATGACGTCAGAATCGTGAAAATAGCTATACAAGCCCTCGAAAATCGACACCGAAGTCCGGGTCCAATTACGTCACCAAAATTCGCTAAATTTCCAATTTTAGAGTCTCTCACTAACGGACGGCTGTTTAGGGGTTACGCGTATCGACCTAGGGTTGTCCGAGTCATGACGGTCCCAATCATCGTGAGAATGAGAAATTATCACTAGTCCCAGAGGTCGCGATCGTTCGGTTCCAGTTCAGGACTAGTTGGCCACGTGCACTTTCGGTCGTGCAGAATCACCTGTGATCCGATTGTACATCATTGGCCTTGGCCAAACCAAATCCATCACCTTTCCTAAGATCGGCCCACGTTGGTCCAAAATATTCCCTCATCATATCTCGAGATCGATGTCCAGTTCACTGTCGGGTCCCTGGTCCACGTTCCGTTTCCTAGTTAGCCATACCCCACTGGTTAGTATCCCTAGAGTGATCAGCTCTGGGCGAGACTTACTAAAATGAGATGCGAAATAATGTCAATTTTATTGATCCCGGAATTACATCGAAATTCAGGCTGTTACATCGTATGAGCATACTTAATCATAATTGTAATAAATTACTTAATAAGATAGTTATATGAATACAACTATGATATCTTATAGAATGTAATTATTTTTTAATATTATCTAACAACAATTAGCATAATAATTAAATAACTTAGTTGAATATTATAGAATTATTATACTGTTTTTTTCTAATTTCATAAATATGAGTAGAAAATAGAGTTAACACAGTTAAGAATTTAGAGCTTCTTTTGCCATTTATAGCAATTCATGATGCTCAACGTACAGCTGGAGAATTAGACCAAATTGGTGATTTCTACTTACTGAATGAACAGGTTGCAGGTCCACAAGCATCCACAAATTATCTAAAAGAAGTGAAGAAATCCCACTTTGTCAGCTCAGACAAGGTACCTGATGATCTCAGATGTTGCTATTGGTAATTTGTAGCCGATTCAGGACATTTGCAATAAACTGAAGAAATCCCCACTTTCTGTATTTCTCTTTTCTTCCTCAAAATTCTTTTTAAATAATTCTTATGTTTTATTTCATTGTGTGCATGGGAGAGTGGTTCATTTCCAGATTCTAACCTAAATCTGTGAAATGGGTTCCTCTATCTTGGATAGCCTATTGAGAATTTCTGGATTTCCACAGATTGTGTACACGAGGGAAATTTCTAAAGCACTTCATGCTGAAGGTGATTATGGTTATCCTAACAATTACTAATGGAGTTATCATGTGATTCTGCAAGGTTATTAGACTAATGGACGAAGTGGAGTCCATGTTCACCAAGCACTTCACCAACAATGACAGGAAAAAGGCCATGAAGTTCTTAAGACCACACCAGCAAAGAGATTCTCACATGGTTACGTTTTTCGTTGGTAATGATCTCTCCCAAGTTGCGAACTCGCTCTCAAGTTGGACATTTAACTTTACTAAATTAGCATCGAAGTTGATAATGGTCTGAATATTGGTACAATTAGAAGTTTATCTGAGTAATCTTAAATGTCCCGGAAGTTCAATAGGCCGCGAATAAGTCTAACGCCGCTAAAACTGCCAATCCACCCTCTGTCTGCAGGATTACTCACAGGATGTTTCGTCACATTGTTTAGCTTATACGCAATACTAGCGCACCTAATTGGCGTTTTCTCCTCCAAAGCCTATCCTAATTACGTGGACATTGTGTACCCTGTGTTCAGGTACAGAGTTCTATCATTTCGTCGTGTCTTGAGTAAGCATTTCCAATCAACTTGTGTCAAAATTTGATGATTCAGTGCAACAATAGTGTAGCTTCACTTTTACATACTGATGCTATATTTTAATAAGTACACGGCACTGATTTTTCACACAAATATGACTGACAAGCTGTGTATTGTGCAGTGCCTTTGCATTGTTCAGCTTGCACCTGTTAATGTATGGATGCAATCTCTTCGCGTGGAAGCAAACTCGAATCAACTGCAACTTCATATGCGAATTCTCGCCCACCACGGCGCTCAAGTACCGAGACACCGTTCCTCATCTGCACCACCTCCCTGATGACCGTGGTCGGCATGATGGTCGTTCACCTCCTCCTGCGCACCAATGGTTTCTCGTCAATCCGGGCTGACCCCATCCCGGGAGTCCTCCTTCTGGTACAAAAACTTCCCCCAATTTCATTGCAAGGACCAAGTTGTGATTAGACATATTAAAAGAATTTCGTCTCAGTTTTTTCTACTTTCACTTGCAGGTTTATATATTGTTGCTGGTATGTCCGTTCAATGTCTTCTATTGTCCGACTCGGTACTGTTTCATTTGGGTCATACGTAACATTATCTGCTCTCCTTTCTGTAAGGTACATTTTTTGCTCCTTCAAATGCATGGAAGAACTTTGCAATAGACAATTTAATCACACTCTCTGAATTGGTTTGAAGTTGATATAACTGAATGCAGGTTTTGATGGTAGACTTTCTCATGGCTGACCAACTAACCAGTCAGGTACAATAAACGTCATCCTGTGAGTTTCGCCAGTGTCGTTTTTCTGCAATAACACCGTTATATATTCAATTTTGTTTTCTTATGTTCATTGGGAATCTATACACATTTTGTTCGTTTGTCGCTGCAGATCCCATTACTGAGGCACACGGAATCGACAGCCTGCTATTTTCTTGCTGGAAGCTTCAGAACACACCAATATGAGACCTGTAAATCAGGGCAATTTTATAGAGAACTCGCTTATGTGATCTCATTCTTGCCGTACTATTGGCGTGCCATGCAGGTAATCTACATCCATCCACAAATGAAGTCATCAAATGATTATGAGCTAACTTCAATTGTATTAGCTGAGATCTTGGCGTTTCTTGTTGATACTCAGTGTGCGAGAAGATGGTTTGACGAGGGCGATGCAAACCATCTGGCAAACATGGGGAAGTATGTTTCAGCGATGGTGGCAGCTGGAGCAAGGCTCACGTATGCCCGTCAGGAGGGGATGCCATGGCTGATAGTAGTCGTGGTGACCTCGACAGTGGCTATGTTTTATCAGCTCTATTGGGATTTCATCAAAGATTGGGGTGTCCTTAACCGAAGATCCAAGAATTCTTGGCTCAGAGATGATCTAATCCTCAACAACAAAAGCGTTTATGTCATTTCTATCGTAAGTTCCTTATTCCTTCCAATTCCAATCTGTCCCAAGATAAATTAAAACATCATTAATTATTAAGAGGACAATAGATTTTGCTTCGGTTAGCATCTATTACAATGTCACTTTCACTTGGTAAAACATAGATCCATTACTGAAAGAAATACTTAGGGATGACAATTGACGAGTACTCTTTGCTATTGTAGGCTTTGAACACGGTTCTGAGGTTTGCTTGGGTAGAGACGGTTCTGCGATTCCGTGTGGGAGTTGTCGAATCGCATTTGCTAGATTTATTCCTGGCTTCATTGGAAGTGATTCGTCGAGGACACTGGAACTTCTACAGGTACATTCGAGCTACCTTCTCCTCTTGTGCTTCTGTTCAGTTCGTTGTCCTAGGCCCTATGAACCAACTTAGCCAGAAATTTAAATGTCATTTTCTTTAAACATCCACCACTAATTTTCATTGAAAAATGAATATGCAGATTGGAGAATGAACATTTGAACAATGTCGGGAAGTTCTGAGCAGTGAAGATGGTTCCTTTACCATTTAGAGAGATGGACTCGGATGACTAAATTAAGCCACTATACAGAGGCAAAGCTGTCATACTTCACTTACATCTAGAGGCAGACCATGAGAAATTCTGCCGCTGCCCTTAACCATTAAGCGCTAATCAACTTCTGCTTCAATTGTAACTGTATGTACAATTTGGTTTATCAATTTATGTATGTATAGAATGAGATCAGATGCTTTGTCACAAAGGGGTCCCAACTCCACCTGTAAGAGAATGAAGGATGCCAAGCGTGTTCATTCATTGTGTTGCATATTCGAGCATTCTTGTACTTGTTTAGTGCTGGAGGAATGCTAATTGCATCTTGCCCTTTGTTCTGTGATTTGTTCAACTCCTTTTAGGGTAGTGACATCGAGTTCTTGAGATGTTTTCCTGAAGCATAAAGCAGTTCCAAGAAAGAGAGTGAACAACTCCAGTGAGTTGGAGCGAACAGAAAATTTCAGATCGGGTGTGATCTACCTAACAAATTCACATAGAATCTCATAAAGTCGATTAGTAATTCGGGTTCTATACTTGTTTTCTTAATTCGACTCCTATGACACCTTAAGTTGTCTGCAACACCTGGACTTTTTATACGTGAACTTAGCAAATTATACAACAAAAGAATGGTTTGTACATCTGGGCTGCCCAACACTCACTTATCATTCATCGAAATGTCACTCCGTAACTTGGGTGATTTCAGCAATTCCCCTGCCGACAAATACTCAGCTATTCTCTTGGCGATACAATAAGCTGTGGACTCGATGGTGATCATTGGGTTGACACCGACGGCGGTGGGCAAAACACTAGCATCACACACAAACAGACCCTCAGCTTCCCAACTCTCCCCGTTCTCATCCACTGCACCTTCCTTCTCATTGATTCCCATCCTGCAACTCCCCATCTGATGGGCAGAACTGTGAATTCCCCACTTCTCACCTATGGCCAATGGGCCATCCTCTACACTGACTCTGCCCAAAAACTCCTCCACTTGGTCCTCACTGAAAGTCCCTCCCCTGCACTTCATCCTGAGGCCGTCACTCCGGTGGGTCCCCACCTCGTCTGCTCCCGCGGCGATCAAGATCCTGAGTGATCGCCGCAGGCCCACCTTGAGATTCACCTTGTCCTCCGAGTCCAGCTTATAGCTTATATTTCCCTCCCTTGTCACTTCCCCACGCCCCCGGTCCCGGATTATCGTGATGAAGTGGGCGGTCCTCGCGTACTTGGTTATCCGGTCCTTTATGTCGAGGCCCGACTCCCAAGGGCACATCGCCGCAAATGATGCGGGCCCGAGCGAGGGGGTCTCGATGATGGCCCGCACTTTTGGATATGAATTTCCCTCGACGACCTTGTGGATCGACGTGATTATCCCACCCTGGTAGGATGTGCCACTGAGCTGCGAGCTCGAGTCCTGAGGGAAATGCCCCCAGGCCATTGCCACTGGGTGGAGACGGAGGTTCCGGCCAATATGCTTGTTCTTCAGTCCACTCGAGATCAGGAGAGGCGGTGTCAGAAGGGCCCCACATGCCAAAACGGTTACCTTGGCCTCAAACTGCAGGACGTTTTCGATATCGCTGTTCATTGATTTCGCCCTCACTCCAATGCATTTCTTTCTTCGCACTCTACCAGGAATGTTCATCTCAAAGACGAGCCGCTCAGCTTTGCATCCTGATAGGATCACCGCGCCACGATTCACTGCATCCACCAGCCAGGTGCTGTCGGTGCCTTGCTTGTCTCCCCTCCTGCAGCCGTAGCCGCAAGAGCCGCAATAGTGGCCCTCCGAGGAATTCCGTGGCACCGCGTTGATCTCAAGGCCGAGCTTCTCACATCCCTCTCGAAGGACCTTATTCTGAAAGCCCTGTTCCACACACTGATCTGTCACTCCAATCCTCTCGCACACAATGTCCATGGCAGAGGCATACTCTTTGCTGCCAAAGAGCTCGATCCCGTGCTTGTCAACCCATTCTTGGAGGACAGTGTCGGGCGTCCTCATGGACGCAGACCAATTGATGGCGGATCCACCTCCAACCGTGGACCCTGCTAGAATCAGCATGTTCCCAGTGGAAGTTGCCAGTATGCCTCCTGATTCATAGAGTTGGTCCAGGGAGGGGCCTTCCAGGGAAGAGTAGTCCTTGTGGGTGTAGTAGTTCCCTTTCTCTAGAACCACCACCTTGTAACCGGAACGCGCCAGCACCGCTGCCGCAACCCCACCGCCGCAGCCGGAGCCCACGATGACGGCATCGCACTTGATTCTGTAAATCTTGTTTTTGGAATCCTGTGTGACTTCCAGACCTTTTTGCTTGAGAGATTGGAGGAGGTCTGGATCTGAAGAGTAAATGGTTTCTATGATTCCCTTCTCGAGTGGCCTTCCCTTTTCAGGTTTCGACAATTCCTCCTCATCATCTACTTGATACCCAATCGCTTTCCATAATGGGTTTTCGCCTTTCTCGTCTACCTGCAAGATCAGAAAATAAATATAGGAAAATTTTCGAGCTAATCCTCAAGAATCACTGCATCTTGCCTTACAAAGGATAAATCCCTGAAGGGTGAATCTTGAAATAGACCTCAGAATACACTAGCTAGCATCTGCTATTAGGTGGCTCTTTTTTTCCCTCCTATCCCTCGGACAGATGCAGCAAACAAAACAATGGGTGGAGTTCGACTAGATAAAAAAGGCCATTGATCGAAGTACCGATTACCATCAACCGACTAAGGTAACGATTTTCAGTTGCGGGGGCAATTTTTGATTAAACTCATCTGGTCTGTTCTGTGCCAAATTTGTTCTTTGGATCTTTCGGAATCGTTATATTCTTGTCCATCTTCTGTGAAAAGTTAAGACATCACGAATGTTACTGTGAGCTTACTTTAGTACCTCATTGTTGGAGATTTTACTCAGCATCCGTCAGCATTCAGATTTTATTACTCACAACAAGTACACTGAGCAGTACCATAAAAATGATCAATATTAAGAATTAGAGCATGACTTCAACGTGCCCAGTTTTTTCTCTACTCTCACCAGAATTAGTGCTTTGATATCATTATTACTCTCATCCTAAATTGATTCACATGAAAAGCTCAAGAATTAAGGGAAAATGTTAAAAATAAAAAAGGCAAAGTAGACAATCTAGAACAAGAAGGATATTCAATAAAATAATAGTTTGATGAGATATGACCAGGCAAGAATGGTAAAATTTGGTCAAGTGTCTCTTTCCATTCCAAAACGATCTTCGAACTGGAGAACAAGTCTCTTTCACCGAAACGTGCAGAAACCAAAGAATCTTCACAAGCATAGAATCTTCACAAGCATCAAGCCAGGTGAGATTTGGCATGAAGAGATTGGACAGAGGGTGTTCAGGAGATGCCAAGGCATGGAAGCCAAAGAAGTCATGACTAGTTTTGGGAGAGAAACAGACTGAAAATATAAATTAAAGCTGGTGAATAAGGATCGGTGATGATCGGGCGAGTTGAGGGTGATTTCACTTGTCCTCCATTTTTTTGCAAAGCTTTTCAATCATCCGTATGAGCTGTCTTGCACTATGCAAATGGAGATCCGGTGAAATGAGAATGCTTGAGAATTTGTTTTTCTTCTGCATGTTCTCTTATCCACAATTGTCTGTTGGGGAAATTACCAAAAACAAATCACAAATCTATTCCACCTGTGCCAATTTAGTTATGGACCTTTCAATTGTGTCAATTTTTTTTTGTCGGAAATTGTGCCAATTTAGTCCTAAACCTTTCGACAATTTGCTAATTTAGTCAGACTAGTTAATTTTGGCTAGAAATTGCTAACGTAGGCGCAGTGAAGGTAAGCCTCGCCGGGATCTGCAAGCTCAAGCCTCGATTGATAATTTATCAAAAGGTTCAAGACTTTTTTCGTAATTTTACCATTAGCTGTTTATCTTGATTTTTCTTCATGTTGTGTTTTATATGTGAAACCTGGCTTAAATTGAGTGTGTATATACATAAATAGATTTAAAATGAAGGAGTAATGTTCAAGCATCGATAAAGGTTTATCACATTTCGTTGTGACCCAATTTTATAAACCAATCTCCGTATCTCACGAAATTAATCAAGATCGAATTGTGGGGTTCCATCCTTTCATCTAGATCCGAAACCCAAAAACGAGTTACACGTGAAAAAAAAATGATACATATGTTTAGGAGAGTGCCTATACATGGATGTGTGTGCATTAAATGGGGGTAGTTGGTGCAGTTTGGTCTCATCAATTTTCTCATAAATCATATGGGTCATATATGTTCATGTGCCTCTACACAAGTGGGCTCTCCCCTAAGTTATGAATATACTTCATTTTCAATTTTTTGTAAACTATAGTGTGAAAAGATTATATTCCAATACATTAATTGTCAGTGGAAGATAAATCTTTCCTAATAGCATATATAATCTCCACATGTGTCCATCTTCAAGATAGTCGCCTCAATTGAAAGAAGAGATTATTATGAAGACGAAAGTCTCGCCAATAATAATTTTTTCTTTCATTGTCACTTGCACAATGTGTAGTTTGAAAATCTCACAACAACATTTCTAAGTTACAACCCTACCAAGAATATCCCGCCATTGAATTTATACACTTTCCGTTTGTATCAAACTTTAAAATGTTAATCCTCTATTATATTTTCCGTTCGCATGTGCAATGCACGACTTTTAAGCAGTAAATATGTATTTTCATCTCATATTTTTCATGGAAATTTCTCTTTTACCTTCATCTCGATAAAGAAATGAACAGACAAAAGAAAATGAAGAAAAACAAATTAACGAAAACTATGAATATCAAAAAAAAGAAGAAAACGGCAGTCTTATTAAATAGTAAGAACGTCAGAATTGATAAATCATTAATAGGACTAGTATGATATTTTAACAAAACGAAACACAATTGAATAAAAAAGACATCAATATCTAAAAGGTAAAATAACAAAAATCGACATGTAATTTCAAATGGTTAATTGATGCAAGAAAAGATCATCAATAAAAGATTTATAAAACATCACCTTAGATTTCGATTAATCATTTCCTTTCATGAGTTGAGAGCATCATTTTCTTTTATAATTTTAAATATTTTTTAATGAATCATTTTTAACGTTAATTAACTCTTTAAATAAACATAATGATAAACAATTTCTGTCTTTTGACCTTTTTTGCTATTGAGGCGTTTTCCCTTTGCATGTAACCGGTGTTTATTCTTTTTCTTAAAATATTTTATTTAGCTCTATTGAAGCGGCTCTATTAATCAAACTTTAATTGTCCAATATTACTGCCGATATTCATTTTTCTATTAACAGTAGTTAAGTCAATTTAGTTTTTCTCCTATTTTCTATATTTTCATTTCTTTTACAGCAATTAAGGGCAAAAAAAGCGATTTCCTTGAAAAAAGAAGAAGATGAAATTACACTTCTATCCCTTAAAATTCATGTGCATGCTAACAAGAAATATAACATTAGGGTAAATGGTTCTAACGAAATGCAATTTTCGAGGATATTGCCCAGCACTTAGTTGTCGAGACAAAGATGTACTACCCCGAAAGTTAGGTGGGTTATCCCCAACTTTTATCTAGAAGATTTTATAGAACAAGAGAAAGTGCATTCGAGATGTCGACCGGGGACATTTTCAGCTTATTATTCAGACATAATGTGGAACACCAGAAGTGATGGAGCATCTTGGGTGGGTGTCATTAATTAGTTGGGAAAAGTGTCAGAAAAATCTTAAATCTTTTGCATTTGTGCCGATTGAGTCCTAAACCTTTTGATATAGTGCCAATTCAGTCTTTCCTGCTAATTTTGACCGGATTTTGCTGACGTGAATGCCGGCGGGCCTACGTGGCACGGCCGGCGCTGATGTGGACAATTTTTAATATTTTTTGAATTTTTTTCTTTTTTCTTTCTTTTTCTTTTTTATTTTCCTCTTCTCCCTCCTTACTCCAGTCGATCGTCGGTCCGACGACCTGTCAGAGACCAAAGGCTGGCCACCGGTGAGGCTTGCCCTCTCTGGATGGCCGCGAGGGCGGCCTCGCTGGCCATGGGTGACGCTCGCCCTCGCCATGGCTGGGCGAGGGCGGCCGGCCATGGGCAAGGTTCGACCTCGCCAAATCCGGTGAGGTCGGACCTCGCCCAGCCGCTGGCGAGGGCGGCTGGCCATGGGCGATGCTCGCCCTCACCATGGCTAGGCGAGGCCTGACCTCGCTAGATCTGGCGAGGTCGGGCCTCGCCCATGGCCCACCACTTTTGCCAACGGCTGGGCGAGGCTCGCCTTCGCCGTCGCTGGCCAGGGCGAGCGTTGCCCATGGCCAGCGAGGCCGCCCTCGCGGCCATCCGGCGAGGGCAAGCCTCGCCGGTGGCTGGCCTCTGGTCTCTAGTCTCTGGCAAGTCGTCGGACTAGCGACTGGCTGGAGTAAGGAGGGAGAAGAGGAAAATAAAAAAGAAAAATAATCATAAAAATTCAAAAAAAATTAAAGTATTATTAAAAATTGTTCACGTCAGCATCGGTCGTGCCACGTAGGCTGACCGACATCCACATCAGCAAAATCCGGTCAAAATTAGCCGGAATGACTAAATTGGCACAAAGACAAAAGGTTTAAGACTCAATTAGTATCAAAAAAATGTTTAGGACTCAATTGGCACAAGTACAAAAGGTTTAAAACTTTTCTGACACATTTCCCTTAATTAGTTTGAAGGCGTCAAACAAAGAGAAATTCGACAGACCGATTCAATCTTAATTGACTCTTTTCCATGTTTAATGGTGCATTTTGGGCCATGAAATAAAGATATGAATTGGAAGGTGATTTTCCTTGCTAGCTCTCTCTCATCACTTGTTATTTGAGATAGAAATTCGTGGTACGTCTCAAATTGACGTGACAAACAGATTAGATTAGCATTCAAGATTTGAATTCAACTTCAATGTCTAAGAAATATTTATTGGATGGAACAACCATCTTAAATTATCTTCGTGTTTTTCTTTTTGTGATTATTTGAAAGTGGGGAGGATTTTATCTTAGACTAGTGTGAAATTGATGACCTTTATATGAGTGAGCACCGTGCCATCGTTAATAACCTTAATTTGAGCTATTTATACGGTGATTAATAAGCTAGTTGATATTTCTTTCACGAATCATTAATACCCGACAACTTGATCTATTATATTGTTGTGGGTGTCCTTGTCAAGGCATGTGTGCTAAGAATTCAACATTTGATCTCAATTATGGTTTTTTTTACTAATCTCCAATTTTTCTACTAATCATATAAAATGCTTAACTTGTAAATTATAATAGGCCGAGATTAATCCGCCCTTTAACAACTAATTGTATCATGTAGGGTTAGGTGGGTTAATGCTATGAATTGCTGACCTGCCGGTATCATATGACGAAGACTCGGTAAGTTTGCTCAAGAACTAAGGAAGTGTGAACGAATTACCCGAGAGAAGAGGACGTAGAGGCACGAGACTTTGAGATACATGAAGACCAACCGGACGGGCGTGAGGAACGGATGGTTGAGCCATCTCCGCAGCACCTTCTCCCGCCGGTCCATGCCCATGCTCGAGAACGTGTTAATGTAAGGCCATCGCCTGCCCATGCAGAGCGAGCCGCACAGCAGCATCGTGCCGAGCCTCGTCGACAGCACCCACAGGACCGCCCGCACCAGGACCACCGCCTCGATCAGTCCCCTCCTCCCTAGAAGCTCCGCCACCTGCAATACAATCCACATCCTTCTTTCATACGTTTGTTGGGTTCCCACTTCTTATGCATCATGTCGGTGTCGGTGTCGGTGTCGGGGCCGACCCGCAACAAATTAGGGGGCCCCGGGGGAATGGAATTGTCAGATCCTCCCTTCTTGAGATACAAGATCCCCGTATCGTCGTGCCAAGCACGGCGACATGGACTTATGGCCAAGTGGGGGTGTTAAAAATGTAATGAAATGTTACTGTGAGCAGGACCACTCTATGAGTTAAAGGCCTGGCCACTCTCCTGTCGGGGCTAACGAAAGAAGTTACCGCAACCCTTTATTGACTCGGTTTAAGCTCTGTCGCACCCGAATCAAGCTCTTAATCGCTGCTTGACTTTCTGATTACGCTCAAGTATATACGCTTTTGCATGGAAGTGGCTTTACTTCTCAAAAATCCAAATGGAGGGAGAGAGTTTATGAGACCGTGAACCAAACCATGAATTTTACCAGCTATGGTATACCGTGATGATCCATGATAATATGATTGTCCGTTTAGCGAGAACAATAGTTGATTTCATTAAGAACTCAAAATCACAAACATGGGAAAAAGTTGTCGACTTGATCTTTTTTTTTTTTTTTTAAATTCAAGGTAGCATCTTTCGAATGGAGGGAGAGAGAGAGAAGACATGGAATTTAGTTACCTCGCGAGGCACCGGAGCTTGAGAGCCAGATGATTCATAAAAGAAGCGCACGGCTTCGTTGGCTCTTTCTTCTTCTCTGTCCGTTCTTCCCTCGAACTCTCCTGCTGCCACTGCAGCCGCCGCCACCGCCGATGCCGCCGCCTCCGCACTCAACGGAGGGAACACCGTCTCGCAGACGGCGGCAAGAGCTTCCATCTCTCGCGAGGAGAAGCCGCGCCTGAACAGCCTCTTCTCTCTCTCCCCTCTGATTATGCCCTTCAACGTGGGATGACACTCTCTCCCCATCTCTCTCTCTCTCTCTCCGCTGGTGGGAGGAATGGATATGAATCTTTTTGTTAGCAATGATGTGCGCGTCTGTTTGGGCGTGGACCCGTTTTATAGTTGAAGTTCGGCCACGAATACCACAGAAGTTGCTTGTATAAGATAGGCCCCGCCACGCACACGCGGAAAAATAATACACTGGCTCGTTCTATATAGACTAATACCATCGTAACCATCGAATGGATGGGCCTTCTAATGCGACGCACATTATGAATGACTTATAACGGTTTGCATAGACACTAAGTCTATGTAATAACTTCTCCGCGGGCACGCTCTCTCTCTCTCTTTGGATCTCGAAACCGATGAGATATTTGTATATTTAGGTATTAGTATATGAGGATGCAACACACGCACAATACACGTCCCACTCGATTTCGTCTTTTTGAGTTATGAAAACTTATGAATGAGCTATGAGGCTGGCCAGGTTCAAAAAATACTCTGCTCAACAGAAGTACTCTCTCTCTCTCTCTCTCTCTCTCTCTCTCTCTCTCTCTCTCTCTCTCTCTCTCTCTCTCTCTCACAGGGTGATAGCAAGTAGAGTGCCAACCTCCCATGTTATGGATCTCTTCCGAGTAGTATTCTTTTATGGTATCATTGTCACACAAAAAAGAATAATTCAAAATCGTCGGTATTCTTTTTTGAACTCAATGTCACTTGGTTGATAGATTGAGGCTTGATTACTACCCTCGATTTTACACGGAAAAAGAATGCTTAGCATGTTCAATCCAACAATTTGAATTAATAGATAGAGGGAGACCGCATATACAAATATAAAGTGCGTATGCATCAGGAAAACAAGCTGAGATACCTAATACTTTTCTCACATGCAAGTCAAATTAGGAACAACACATCGAATGGGACGAACGAGGTGTGAAGCTCATGAAATAAATCGGATCTAAACCCGGTTCTATTCTAACACCGCCACTCAATTACTATTATTATTGTGATTTTGGTTTTTTGCTATCCATCCTTAAAATTGTGAAATGCGTACGTGGCAAACACAACAACCACTTGTGTGAATGGCCCACTGGAGAAGGAAATTTCTTATTTTCCAACCCATGATTTATCATAACCACCAAATTTTTTGTGCTCTTGGCCAAGCAATGTGAACACCCTTTTGAGATAATAGAACTTTCTTTCACTTTCCCACACACAATAGAAAGAGAGAGTTCACAGAGGACCCATTTGGTTTCCCAGTTGTGTAACTTTAGAGCTGGGCTACGTGGACGTATCGATAAACATCACGGTACGAAGGAGTTATAGAAACTACCAACCACCCCCGTCAATTTATTGTGGAGAAACGGAAAAGGCCAGTCTTCATGGTTCCCGAGTCATCGTGGTAGGTTTGATCTTTTTTCCATTTCTAGGTTACTTCTAATGGCCCTTTCCACCTCGTTGTCCTTTCACTTTTGGACGTTACCCATTGTTGGGATTTGTACTCCCGAGGGGTCGTCGCTCGGTGCCACATTCATGACTGGTCGTGTCAGTCGCGAAAAGGGCACTTCAAGATCCTCACAGTTAAAATCTAAAATATAGTAATAAAAAATAAAAGGATTTGCGAACCTGATTTGAAATTCATTATTATTGATTCAGAATAGCGACGATATGCAAGTGCTTCTCTTCTCTATTACCTTTTGTATCACTCGCTCAATGAAACTGTCTCTCACCTTCTGTAACTGTTCCTTATATGAGGATGTTTGTGCATCAGAATTAAAAGAGAGACTTGAGCATTATAGAGTTTTCAGCCACAGACCCTCTCATCACAGGTCGGGCTTTACTCGGCCCACACTAGTTAGTTACATTTTAGACTAATTAAGAATCTTTATATCTTACTTTTTAAGACCAATTCCGTAAAACGGAAAATTACAATCTCAATTAATGTAGTCCACATCAAATAAAACTCTTACACGTCGGTCCAAGGTAGAACGAGCCCTATTACCGTGACTGGTATTGAAATGCACGCGTGAGTTGCGCTATAAAAAGTTCCACGTTGAAGAGTTGGTCTGGTGGGACCAACTACATATGTTAACGAGTTCGGACTTAAGCTCCTTCTTGGCAATCTTTCCGGATAAAGCTATTGGATTTCTGTTACGCGCTTCTAATAACCCCACAAGTGGCTAGAGGAAAAGTGCTTTGATGTTATACACATGCATATGTGATTTTCGGTGAAATTTACATCTCCTCCACATTTATGCACTTAAAAAAAAAGCACCCTTCCTTTCATAATTAAAGGCTTTTCATGCATAAATATACGCACTGCATGGGGCTGGTTCCACAAACTGGAAATTGAGCAACGCCTATTAGTTCTAGGACCCACCCAGGAACCAGACCACCTAGGTGGTTTCATGGATCCGGCCATTACATTTCAAGAACTACTAAGTGACATTTCGTCAAACATATTATGTGTATTGTCTGAGTAAAACAATGCCTTAACAAACTTAGTTTTGAATCCTAACTCATATAGAAACAACTCGGTGTGCATGAAAGCTATGAATATTCTCTTCTGATTTCCTTCTAAATAGCACCACAGCGGCAGTGAAACTTTTATAGATGATTCACATCTATGTTAATTATTAGCAATGAAAACTTTATAAAATATTTTGATGTAATAAATCGTACTTTTTTAATATGGAAGCTTTACTTAATTATAACTAACAAACATGCACATAGTTGCGTGTTTGCATAGAAGTATTGACACTTATAAATTTCGAAATCATATTATTGTGAAATAAACTAGTGATTAAAGAATTATTGACACGATATGAAGAAATTGCACATATATGTGGAAAGAAAAAATGCTCCAAGATTTGAAATTTTTGTTTCTGTAAGAGTATATAAGATAGAAAAGATTCAAATATTAAAATTGACATACATAAGAGATAAAATAGAATTATTGATGTACGCACAGAATTTTCATCAAATACCTAATTGAGAATATTTTGGAGGGGAAAATATCACAAAAAACCCCAAACTATGCCACTTGTGATAAATTTATCCTGAACTTTTTTTTGTGACACGAAAAACTATAAACTATACCACTTGTGACACATTTACCCCACAATACTTTGGCCCAAGGGCATTTTCATCTTTTTCCTTTTTATGTTTTTTTTTCTTTCTTCTCTCTTTCCTCCATCGGCCACGGTGGAGGGAAGTCGGCGAGGGCGGCCCTCACCGGCATTGGGGTTGGGCGAGGGCTGTCCTCGCCTGACACTTGCGAGGGTTGTCCTCGCCAAATCCGGTGAGGGCAGCCCTCACCCAACCCCAACGCCGGCAAGGGCCGCCCTTGCCGGCTTCCCTCCGTCGAGAGAAGAAACAAAAAAAAAAAGGGGAAAAAAAAACAAAAAAAGGAAAGAGACGAAAACGCCCTTTGGCCAAAGTATTGTGGAGTAAATGTGTCACAAGTGGTATAGTTTAAGATTTTTGTGTCACAAAAAAAAGTTCAGGGTAAATTTGTCACAAGTTGCATAGTTTAGAGTTTTTGGTGGTGTTTTCCCTATTTTGGGTAAGAAATAAAGAATTGTGTTTGCCTTAAGAGTAGGAGGTCATCTTTGTTTTGTATAAAATATACATATAATTTATTTAAATCCGTGATGACGTCATTTTAGATTCTATTATAAGAAAACCGGAATTTTTTACAATTTTCTTTAAGAAAAATAACGATATATATTCTGTCGTATCTCGCACCATAATTTTTTTCAGTATCAACATAGGATTCCACATATTCTCCCACACATTCATGGACTCACGAAAATTTGTAGTCATCCTTGTATAATGACATGATTTATACTCAATATTACACAACGTTCTATATTTGGGTAAAAGTGCTTTAATCTTTTTCTTGTTTCGTGCTTTTTACTTTTTAAGTGCTTGAATGTCCGTAGCATGTCCATGTAGCTAATAACTCAATGCAATCCCGAGATTAGTCAACACTCGCATTAGGTGTTTTGAAAAGGATCTTATTCCCAAATATTATAAATAGATAAACAGGATCATGAGTGGGGTACGTGACAGAGTAGCAATAACCACCAATTTGTGGTGATGGGAGTGAATGGAGATCAATCGGTTTCAATCCCTTCTCGACTTTAGAAGGACTTAAGGCGATATATTTTCCAAAATAAATAAAATTAAAAATATTTTTCCATAAATGATTGTTTGTCATCCTTAGAAATAATTAGTTGATAAAAAATATTTTTATTATAAAAAAAATTTATGTCCAAACATTTTCGTGAACAATGAACATAGTTTTTGCTCATTGATTTTTATAAGTGATATGTTCGATCATTTTTTGAAATATTTTTTTAAAATAACTGAGGTGATCGGAGACATAGCCCTAGGTATTAATAGAAAGTCACCGAATCACTTATGCATACATGCCTAAAAATCAGGAAAATTACCCAAAAAAGTCATAATCCTATTGCAATTGTACTAATTCAGTCCTAAACTTTTTTTTTGCCAATTCAGTCTTAAACCTTTTTGTATTTGTGATAATTTAGTCCAAAAAGCCAATTTTGGCCAGCTAGCACTAATATGGATGCCAGCTGTTCTATATGGCGTAACAAGCGCTGATATGTATAATTTTTAATAATATTTTAATATTTTTTCAAATTTTTTATTTATTCTTCCCTATTTTCTTTTCTTTCTATTTTTTTTCTTTCCTTCTTCCTCTGGCCAATTGTCGAGGTCCAGCAACCAGCCAGAGTCTAGGGCCAGAGAGGTTGAGCCTCGCCATGGCTGGATGAGGTTGAGCTCGTCCTCGCCCTTGCTATCGTGGGCGAAGAGCAACGCCCAAATATGGCGAGGCTCAACCTCCCCGTCGTTGGGCGAGGTTGAGCTCGCCCAACCATGGCGAGGGCAAGGTCAACCTCGCCGGCCTTAGCCTCTAGCCGGTCGCAGAGGTCCAACGACTAACCATGGGAAGAAGGAAAGAAACAAAAAGAAAGAGAAAAAAAAGAAAAACATAAATAAAAAATTCAAAAAATATTAATATATTATTTAAAATTATTCACGTCAGTGTCGGTTGGCGTCCACATTAACGCTGAC